TTTTTTTTTTTTTTTTTTTTTTTTTTTTTGTTCCTTCGGCGTCTTCACGCCTGAGGGGAGAAGGAAAAGGCAGCTGGAGTAGCTCAGCCGCACGCCTGAGGGCCGATGCTGGGCGCTGTGCGTCCCCGGTGCGAGCTGTTCTGGAGCCGGCCCGCCCTCCTCGGTGGGCTCCCGCGGGTGGGGGAGATCGCAGGTGGTTTCCTTCTGGCTTCGGGGAGGGTTGGGGTTTCGCAGCTGTGTCTCTGCCCGTCGGCAGCGGCGTAGCGGACCCTCCAAACTGTTATTGCGGCTGTAACTTTGGGCGTAGGGGATGATGGATAAATGGAAAATGGATTTGGTGGTCGTGCCCTAAGCCTGTTTCAAATCTTGAAGTTACAACTAAAAAATTAGCAAAACTTTTTACACTACCGATGTTTTCTGCTGGTTTTGACTTTTAAAGAGTGATTGCTTTCTCTCAAGTTGAGAAAATTCGATGTTGGGGGTTTCCTATTAATTTTCTGAAGCTTTAAACGGTTCTTCTGTGTATGTGCTGTGTTCTGGACTTGCTTACCTTTCAGGTATCCATCTCCTGAGTACTTCGAAGTCTCTCATCTAAACAAAATGAAGGCTATTTTGCATTAGAAAAGGGATAATTTTGTTTTGTGCAAGGCCTTGGTTTACACAAGAAATTGAATTCTGTTGTGTTGCAGTTTGAGTACCTTTTTCTACCTTCTATGCTGGCCAGAGTGCATCAAGTACATTTAAATGAGAACGACAGAAGCTGTTAAAATATACTTTACTGCCTCCTGAATGCGTACTCAGCCTATCATTTTGTGTAAATTTGCACAGAGCACCTTTTATTATTAAAAAAAAATAAAAATCCTGACATACCTGCATAATTAGTAGCAAATGGAGAAAGCATGTGGTGGGAATAATACACACAACCATAGACTCTTCTAAAGGCTGCAGAGCTTAGTATGTGGGATAGAATTCTACTGTTGCATGATGTTTTGTTTTATTCATCTTTATTACACGAAGACTGAAATTTCTTTATCCAAAACCACATAACACAATATGCTGTGATCATACATGTATTTGCATACAAATAATACGTATTACAAGGTCAAGCAGTTAGAAGTAAAATAATGCATAGCAGACACTGCATACTCACAAAAACCCCAAACCAGATACAGCTTTTAGTTACAATTCCGGTCTTACATTTGTCATCTGGGGTCAGATTCTTTGCCATGTGCTTGCACGCACTGTTTAAGCCCTGCACTGAATACAGTCTTTTACCCTCATGGGCCTGTCTGCTCCCTGATGCATGTCAGGTGATGGTGTTAGTGTGCTTCATATTGGCATTGAGTGAAAGGGAGGCAGTATTCTGATTTCGGAGATAGAGAACTGAGGTGCAAAGAAAAAGGTAATTTTATCAGATGCAAATTTTAAATTTTTGGTATTAAGGCTCAGGTAGTTCCCAGCATGAACTTTGAAACATTATGAATGGTCATCAACTATAGTATTAAATACTCAGTGCTCCTAAAGTTGCTTACTGTGTCATGTACTTAATGTAAGCTGCTGCTCCTCCTTAAACGCCGGGATTTGAAAGGCTTGCCTAAGGGGAGACAATCAGCTGTGCTCTCAGGTCAGTTTTGTAAACCGGAAACTCCTGCCTTTTCCTGAAGTCATCTTCCTTACTGGATGCAAAAGTTGTAGGATAAATAGCGAATGAGGCAGAATTACTTCAGAAAACAGCTTCATTCACTACTGATCTGTAATTAAGATGTAAAGGTTAGGAACCCGAGAACATCATATGGTTAGTTGTGCATATTCACAAGCAACTAAATTAAGATTACCTGGGAAGTGTAAATTCTGGCAGTTTTCTGATGTTTTGATTATACAGTCACCTACATAACTGGTATGTGGGGTATCTGTCATCTTTCTTAAAGCTATGACTCCAGCACTTGTTAAATAAGAGCATTCAGCTGCAGCCCTGAGCTGCTCTTAAGTGAGAGTTCTGGCTTTTTTTTTTTTTCCTCTCCTCAAGTAGTCTATTAACTTTGCCAAATTGAGAATTAGTGAAAGGAAGGTAGAAGCCACATAATGTTCAGAAGGGAGCAGTTAACTCAAATATGAAAGACAGTAATGCTACACCTTAATTAAGAGTTGTATTCCCTTTTTAACACAGGAAAACCATGTTATGTTTTAAATACAGTCCATTTACTTGTTAGAAGTATTTATATTTAAATGTTCAAAAGAACAAGTGTTCAAAATCATAAGGAACTGGTTGCTGAAAAACCAGAAAATTTTCAGTCAAATTCAGAAGTTGAATTTTTTCATTTATAGGATACTGTTTACAATTATTTTTACAACAGCAAGGCCTACTTAATCTTATCAGTTCAAAACTGATATATAGTACTGTGAAAGTAAAACTAAAGAGAAAATATTATATACAGAAATGGTATCTGACACCAAACAAAATACATATTTCTGCTAAAAAATGCTTTGTGGTTGCTATTCAGATGCCTCATTAATAACAATTGCATACTGTTACATTGTTCCCTTAATGTGTTTCTTTTTTTAGGTGCTGTTGTATACTAAAATATATTTCTGTGCATCTGTTTTCCTGGGTTTTCCAGTAGAGCAAACTTTGTAGTTTGACAGATCAATGCCTAGGAATGTGTTAGGTTCTGGTGTGCAATAAAAAAAAAAAAAAAAAAAAAAAAAAAAAAAGTAACCTTTAATAAACCTGTATTAACTGGCTACTTTGCAGTTTGGGGAAAAACAACCCATAACCTATTTGTTTTATATAGGGTTCAGCTTTTTCTGTCAATTATGCAAGCAGAATTCTGCAAAAGCAGTGTTTTTTTCTGTAAGTATAAAAGGCCCTCCTTCTTTCCACTTCTCCTCCACACTCCCTAAAAAAAAAAAATCCAACTTTAACAACTTATTTTATGCTTTTTTCATTACCACATTTCTAGAAACACTGACTTGATGGGAGCACGGCTGGCTGGATCCCATGTTGATACACAGGGGCCTAAGACTAACCCTTTGGTAAGTGTTTATAGAGTGGTAGTTTATATATTGTCTTATTAATAAAGAGGGTGTGCAGAAAAACTTGAATTCCTTTGTTGCAGCTTTTTAAAGTTCTGCCTTAATGATGTCAAATTTGCTATACAGAAAGAAAGAATTTAGATTATTGGTATTTGAGATTTTTTTTTTTTTTCTTCAAGATTTCTATTGTCCATAGTTGCCTCTTAATCGTTTTCTTCCTTCTCTATGCAACTGTAACTCTATGAAATACCATCTTTTTGGCTACATTCAGTTCAGTGCCTGCACCAGCTTAAGGCCTTTGTCTCTGGCTTGGAAACTGGGAGCCCAGGGCTGATGGAGGTGGGGAGTTCATGAAGGCATGTAGTGGGTATCTTGCATTTAGATTCTGAATGCCTTCATTTTGACTAGGACTTCAGGAGCATGTGAGGAACACACGCTCAATCTGTACAACACATGCAAGCAAGCCAAAATCTTACAGGCAGTATTACATCTACAGTGCAGACACAGCCTTCCTGCACTGTCTGGTGCATGCTGGACTTACTGTGCTAAACTGCCCAGGAGTAAACCTGTGCTTCCTGGACACATCAAGGCTTTTCAGATGATCAGTGAGCCCAGGCCATCAGAAATTGAAGCTCAGACTGGAAGTCACAAAGTTGTAAATGAACGTTGTAAACTTGCATCTGGTCAAAGGTAACGGACAGTATGCCTGGGGAGCCTGCGATGTTTAAATTAGCCTTATAACTGACATAGTAAAGAGAGAATTCTGGTTACTGTCTATAATGTTCTAGTTACTGTCCATATCCAAGTGGTCTGAGAATTTCATGTATTCTCACACTGCTATTTGAAATACAAATACTGCTGCTCCAGACCTGCTTTAACAATGAGTTTCATTCTTGCCTTTTCTGTTGTCCTCCTTATATTTATCCAGCATTCACTTTCCTTTTCCCATCAAAAAGTTTTACTGAAATCTTCAGAAGTTAGGTATCTCTTCACACTTCTGCTTTCCCTGATAAGTGAGAACTGTCAAACAATGTAATACTGTCAGCCTCATGCAGATAAACTAAAATAAGCAGCTAACAGTGTGTGGGTTTTTCCTCTCTTACAAATGGGGTGCACAGGCTAAGAAAATACGCAGTGCATGCATTAAGGAGAACATGGAGTGGTAACACTTGATCTTTCTTTAAAAATGCAGGTATCTATTTCAGATGAGCCAGAAACACTGTACAAGAGGTTGTCCCTTCTAGTTAAAGGCCATGATAAAGCTGTGTTGGACAGCTATGAATATTTTGCAGTGCTTGCAGCTGAAGAACTTGGCATCTCTGTTGAAAAAGTGTAAGTAACTGATATGTAGAGTGATGTGGTGTCAGACACTTTTTATGTCATCTATTGTAATTCAGGTTCTAGGCTTAGAAGTATTTTCTCTTTTTTGGAAGAAACAGGTGTAATCTGGGATTTTTTTCTCAGATTATAAATCTAATGCTTCTTAGATGGCAGCACAGTGATGAGGAAGCAGCAGCAGTTCTACACTTAGTGCTGCCATAGTAAAAGTGCATTTTAACTACACAAAGGATATCGACAGTCTCAGTACGCTTGTCCGTGCTCTAGCTTCCCTGAACTAATGCACATTAATACCTGAGTATGAACCATGCCTGTGTGTGTTAATAATAAACTGTACCAGTGTTTAATACTTCCTTGTATATCTTCTAAACGTCAAATAAGAATGGGGATTTCAGCATACTCTTTCAGATAACTTGTATTACCATGCTTTATATAAAACGAAATTTTCTTTTTGTGTTTTGTTCAGATATAAACCTCCAAAGACAATAGAACGATTGACACTTTTAAAATCTGTACACATTTACAAGAAGCACAGAGTTCAGTATGAAATGAGAACACATTACATGTGTTTGGAGGTAAGAAAGCCATAAAAAGAACAGTTATGTTCTAGCTGTGCAATTCAAAGACGTTAATAGATGTTAGTTCAGGAGTGAACACAAACTTCCTGTTTACTAGGGCTGGGAAGGAGAGTGCAGAGAATCACAGAAAACAGATGAGCTAGGTACATCAAATGTGCCACAAGTTATGTACAGCCTACATCATTTTTTAATTAAAAGGCTAGTTTTGACCATCACCTTAACAGCTGTTAAAAAATAAGGTAGAATTGAGAGCTATCTTTATATATGTTATGCTCTTGGTTTCCAAGAATCAGTGGGATATAAGCTTTCTCAGGAAGGGAGGAAGATACAGCTTAATCATTGTCATTACCAGTCACTAGGGGTTCTGTTCTTTGTGAGCTTGTCTTATGTTTTTGAACACACATACTTTTGCCCTATGTAACATCATGTGGCAAACTAAAACTGCATGGGGGAAATACAAGAAAGGAAGTGTATACAGACCACTAGCTCTTGGCTGATGACACAGACTTCTGTATGGTTTAGAGCTGTGGTTAACTTTCTTATAAGAAAGGTTTACTGCCAGCATTTTGTTGCTCCTGGCTGTCTTACTATGTATTTGCACGGTGCTTAGCAAAATGGGACTTTAAGTCCACAGATAACAGTGCAGTACCAATGGCTGCCCACAGACCATAAGCACTGTTTTTGCCATCCAGGAGAAAGTATGATAGAAAACCAAATTTCAATAGAATTTTGGAATTGCAGGATTTATAACAAGGTTGAACTTGGAGAGTATATAAAAGCTTGCATTACCTAGAATTAATTTCATCTGACACCTGCAGTGTTAAGATCCACCACTTCCATTATAATCCATGCATGTGATCATAGGCAGTAAGTGCAGTTCTGTGGAGTGAAATACTTTATACTTGCATGAGAGTTGCGCACAGCTCAGCTGTCCAGTGTTACGGAAGCTGCCTTCCTGTAGAATGTTTGGTCCCACAGCAAGACCTAGGGAAGTTAGGGCAAATTCATTTTTTCTGTATTCTGTTTGAAGTATTATTAATAGTAGTTCATTAAAATATCATTTTTTCTGTTTTAGTTAAAATACCTAACAAGCAGTACTGCTGCAGTTTACTTGGAGTATGTTCAACGAAACTTACCTGAAGGGGTTGCCATGGAAGTTAAAAAGGTAAGTTTCCATCTCATGTTATTAACTGTCATGAGACTAAGTCCTGATACTAGTACCAGTAACTACAAAAGTCTTTTTTTTAAGTCAGCAGAGGAGGTGTGTGTAGATTGGAAGGAACGTTTGCTGACGTACTAAACGGTAAAGAGGCTGTATTGCTTGAAAACGCCACTAGGTGGCATTTTTAATCTGATAAATATCTCGGACTAAAGAAAGCAAGGTAGTTAGCTGCTAACTAGTTGGTATAATAAATGGTTGCTTTGCTTTCCTTTTAGACTAAGATAGAGAAGATACCTGAACACATTCGAGAACCAGTTTGGGATTCACTACCTCACGTAGAAGAAACTGAAGTCAAGTCATAAACTCACCAGGTACTTGGCTCTGTTAGTGCTGAAGTTGGTTGCTCCTATCAACCTAATTTACTGAGACAGTTGATTGTTAAATAAAAGTTCTCTTATAAAGTAATTCTATAAACTCTTGTTTCATTGAATTATTCTTGATCATAACTCCAGTCCATGCAGAGTGAAGAGCTATAAATTGAAGAAGTTTGACTGTACTCTCTGATCAAGAAGTGTGGTCCTCTATAATAAGTTTATAGAAAGGTTAAGTCTATATATTTATATATATATATATATATATATATATATAAAATTATTAATCTCCTCTTGATACTAAATGGCTTCTGAAAGATTTGCAAAATCCCCTTCATGTCTGTGTCATGGTTAATGTTATGGATGCCAGATTGTTACATGTTTTTTGCTGTAGCTCCTTCGATGTAACTGAATGCCAGGTGTACATACAGCTTGCATATTAACTTGTAATAAGTCAAAACCCACAATCTTAGAGGACACTGAAGCACATTGGAGACTTTTCTGGGCTCTTACAGTTCCAGCAGCCTCATTTTGAGTCTTAGTAACTTCCTGCTAACAGAAGAACACAGTGATCACAGTACAAATCCGAGACTTCCACAGGCTTATATCTCTAAATGAAGTGCTTGTAGAACCATATTGCAAAGCAAATGCATACTAGAAAGTACCATTGTGGATAGGAAAAATAAGTCATTAAGTGGTTTAGTTCACTATAGGGAAAGGCATGGCATTTTTCTCAACTGGCTGGGTTGGTTATAGTGTAAACCCGGTCTAGATGGATACTGCTTACACTTAAGAGGAGAAAACAAGTACAGATCGCAAAAGAGTTCTCAGTTACTTTGAAGGTCAGTTCACCGTGAATCAAAGGAGATAATACTAGGTGCAGAGCTATTATCGACTTTGCCTTCAGACTGCATTAAGCACTTCTACCTTTCCTAGGTTAGCAGGAGGGACACAGCTGCAGGAATCTGCTTCAGTATTAAGACAGTGGCTTTGATTTGACTGCTATTAAAAGAATTTACAGAAGGAATAGCCAACTGGGTCACAGGACAAGACAGCCAGAAAGGCTGGATCATACTTACCAAGAGCACTCAAAGCTTTATAAAATCACAGAAGAAGAAAAAGCCCAATATTACCATCAGACAGTAATGGATAATCTCAGTGGGAAGTAGCTGAAAGACAAGAAAGCAAGCTTCTGCTTGAAGACTGTCTGCATTTTCTGGTTGTAGAGAGGCCCAAAGCTGTTTTAGGAGAGGTATTTCAAGACAGTCACTTGTGATATCAAGGAAGCTGCCTGTGAATCTTCTACAGTATGCCTGAAAAAACCCCAGGAATTTAGTCAAAGCCCTTATGGGCCTGGTTCTCCCTTCCAGGTGTTTGCTCAATTTCAAGCTATTCTTCCTTTCTCTCATTCCTAGTATTTAGTCATAATAGCATTTCTAAGTCATGCCAGACACCGACGTGAAGGAAGAAATTGAGCTGACCTGGTTAAATCTGGTGCTTCAGAGGAACAGCCGCTTTCAAGTCTGTATTACATTTTCTTCAAATTTGCCATGCTTTAGTTTTGCGTAAGCTGCCTGCCAAGTTCAAGCTGTATATAGTATAGAAATGTGACTGTGCTCAGTACTAAGTCTGTCCACATTTAGGTTTGATGCATGGTAAGATTAAGAGGTTGTATTTTATTGTCTTTGGTGTTATACTCTCAGCTTGCGGTTTTTGACTAAATGATTTTTCAGTTGGCTCAGTTTTATTAATTATCAGACCTAAATAGGAACGAAATAACTCTGGAGGCAGCTGCAGGAAGTATTAACCTATGTAAGCAACCCTCTGGCAGAAGGAATACTTGATCTTGGGAAAGGTGTATTTATTAGAAAATTTCTTGCTTACAGCCTCACTGTGTTGAGGAAAGCCAGTGTACATTTAAAGTGACCTCTGAACCTTAATGCTGTTGACAGAGTCATAGCTAACGGCCATCACAGATCATCTCCACCCCGAAAAAGCAGAATGACCTGTGCAGATTCTGACTGTTGCAGACCAGTGTTTACTAGCACTACTACCTACTAACCTCAGTAGGCCACACTTCTTGTCTGTGTCTTTCCCTGTATGAAACTTCCTCCCTTTTAAGACTGTGATCTGCTTCCTCTACCTTCCCCTTCATGTTTAGGGGTTTCCTAAGGCCTAACAATGTCTTTCTCTCTAGCTGTGCATTTGCATAACGCTGTAACTGTGCAATACACTGATCATCTTTTTCCATCCCCTAATGTGGCTTCTGACTTCACAGCATGTTCCTGGTCATCACTTATAAAACTTCAGATAAGCTATTTTCATTCTTTGTTTCCTCTCCCATTCTTTTACCACATTTCTACAGTTTTGCTTTCTGCCACTTTTCTCAGCAAGTGCCAACAGCAACACTCCAGTCATGGCTTTATGTCTTGTCTCAAGTCATCTTTCTACCTACTGACCATCTTGTCTCATTTTCAGTCAGACAATTTTTAGTTGAATTTTAGAGGAAGTTAATAAAAATGCCATGCTTCATATAATTTATAGACATCAGTATTTGAGCATGCTGCATTGTGTTCTTATGAGTAAAACAGCCAAAGCTTAAATTATACCTGTCACAAGTTCCCACTTCTGCATTCATACAGCAAAATAGCCAGAATTACCAATTTCACGCCCTGAAATAAAGGCAACATATGCCATGCAGGGTGCTCTGTGCAACACAGCAAAGTGTTCTCCTTTCTTAGAACTCCAGTTTGAATCTGAGAGTCAAACCACTGTCAGTATCACTCTATCTGTAAACTAGCACTTCGCCCTTAAGGAGGGAGGGAGAGGTTTTCAGGCATGGAACTGAACTAAATCTGTAGGATCAGTTCAGTATCACTGCCTTTTTTTATGAAGGAAAGCTGGATGAAAAGACTTGACAGCACGCAGTAGCAAAGCTTGACTTTCAATATCTAGTAGCCTGCAGTCTCACCCTGTAATCGGGACACAGATTGTTAATACTGCTGCTCTCGCCCCTGGCTGATACTTCATTAGTCCCATCTAGCAAACAAGCTTAACCCAAGCCAGTCATTCAGAGGAGATTTTAAAATGTTTGGTTAAGCTAATGCTCTGTCTTTCTAAATGGAGTTTTACTATATATGAACTTAAGCAACAGTAAACCTTCAATCTAATTACCTTTGCTTTCCCTCCCACCAGTTCAGGTTTCCCGGTAATCTGTGGGTGGCATTCAAGGACAGACACCTCTAGTCTGAAATCCAGCCAGGCTCCTTCCACCCTTTTGCGTGCAGCTGTGTTCAGTTCCAGCCTGCTAGTACACTCTCACTGAGCACTTTAGAACATCTGCAATAGAAAAGAACGGAACATACTCAAGAACACAGGCAGATCAATGAGCAAATCTTTGGTAAAGTTTTCCCTTATTTAAAGGCTAAGGCAAACAAACTATTTGTATTAACAGAAAGTAAGTGGTGCTTTTCCGATACTTTCCCGAGGGTCATAGAAAATAGATGCCATGTAAAGCTGTTACAGAAACCCAGAGTGGTAGCAAATACTAAGAAAAGTATCTTGAAAGCAGTTGCCAGATATGACACCGAATCTTTTTTATTTCACTAGTAGATAGACTGTCTTAATCTAAATAAGAGCTGTGCTCAATATTGGCACTGAAGATAAGACAAGTTTTTGAGTCCATTCAATCTTTAAAATCCTTGGTCACTGCGAGTAAGCTGGGGGTGGGTTTCCTTCCACAAATACTTTGTGACTAACAGCTGCCAGCCTACTTTAGGTGTCAAAAAATATACAGACCAATATATCATGTAAATAATATAGAACAGCTGTTTAAAATTTTCAGGTTTGTAGAATAAACTAAAACTAAAACCAGAGTATTCACTTACGTTAATTTTCTTTGAGCCATTTAACCAGCTAAAAATTGTCAGGAAGGCTCTGCTCAGAGGCAGTTGTGGAAGAATCCTGTTACTTCTGGATTAAAGATATTTTAAAAACAGTCTAAACCACCCTGCATTTCCAAGATACCCAGGGTTCATTTGCCATATGACTGTATCTTTCAGTACAAAACCAATTAATGAACAGTAACTTCCACATCATTTAGTAAGGTATTTAAAGACGCAGTCTGAATTTATTCTCAGCATTTCATTGAAGTGCTCTAGAGCATGTATTTCCCTTTCTTATACATGCCATGCGTCACCACTCAGGCCTGGAATATTACTTCAGATTTGGTTTCTACAGTAGGTCTTAATCATACCACTACCACAACTTCATTGTCATGTCAGCTTGAATATGACTGTACAGCAAGCTTCTAGCTTTAGAAGCCTTTTCTGCCAGTATCTGTGTTTCATGTACCAGGAAATTAATTACTATCTATCTGTTATTCCAGGGAACACTGGAAATACAGCAAGTCCAAGGGAAGGTCCTTTACCCAGGAAATTGTGACATGAGAAGGTTTTGCTCTTTTTGTAGTACAAAATTGCTTCAAGTCTGCTATTGTCTTAGGTCAAACTGCACTAAAACAGGCAGAGTATACTATTTTTCCCTTCAAATTAGAAATTTTGGAATAGAACCTCACATGCCAATCATGGCTTTTCCTAGCAAGCGCCATTAGGAAAGGCCACCCTTCCTCTAATTTCCATGTTTTTGCAGCTGCAAAATAGCACAACTGGCTTTTAAAAACATCTTTCCTATCATAAAAGTTGGGGGAGATTTCTTGCTCCCATTTAAACATTTCATCCTCAGGTTTCCCTCTGACTAGTTTGCTGTCGTCTTCCTAAGTTCAGGGTTGGGGTTTTTTTTCCACAAAAAAACCCCAGTATTCACCCTTGTCCGCTTGTGTGGTGAAAAGTGGAAGTTACCTTTCTGACAATCATAAGCCAACCATGATAAATCCCTGTGTGACAGCGTATCAGTGCACCAGGGGAGGGGTGTACCCCTGTATGCCCATATATACTCAGTACCTCAACCCACTTTCTTTAAGATGCAGGAATCAGAGAGGTGTTTCATTTACAATAAGAACATGGAAAAAAACCTTTTAATACAAGCACCTTATTTGCTCAGGTAGGTGCACACAGCACAGGTGAAGTTTCTCTTCAACATTTTTCTTCATGATTTTGCACAGTCAGAGGACAGCATTATGGGATTTGTGGTTCTGCATCCCTCTGAAAAAGAAGCTACTGTCTCACTGCTCAATCTGAAATTCCTAGTTCTCTTTACAGCAAGTACCTTTCTTTGGAAATGCTATTTATTGAATTATAAGAAACATGATCGATAAAAAGTACATGTTTTCTTCTTTGTACTTAAATAAAATGCCACTTGATAGTATCAAAAAGCAATCAATCAGTGTATCACATCTGCTGATGCAAGGTCTGTCGTACATCAGCACGTTATGATCGCTTATCTTTCATTCCCTCATGCCTTGAAAATATTAACTCTTGCTTCAGTATTAGAATGTTTCTAGTTCAAAATAATAGGGATTTTGTTACTGAAAATATTCACAGGCTTTTTTCTTAAGCCATTAGAGTACAAAAGTTTCACCTTTTGCTCAGAGAAAGTTAAAATATCTACATTATGGAGACGTCATAACTGAGTAACACCAGTAGGACTCCAACCATGCACAGCAACGGCAGATACCCAGAATTGATTAGAGCTGCTTTAGCCTATGGTGGTCGTACTGCTAAGAGATTAAAAGAGCAGGAGGTTTAGTTTGCCATCAAAAATCAAATTTAGTGACAAAACTTCAAGACCAAAACAATCATACTGTATTGTCCAAGACAGAACATTAAAAAATACAGATAAATTCAGCACCTACTTGGGAGAAAAAATTCTAGTGTATTAAACAGGATCAGTTTTCAACTGACCAATTCCCTTAACATTGGCACCCACTCAAAAGCAGAGAAAGTCATAATGCAGATTTCTTTCCTCTTTCTCTAGCATCTCATTGAAATCTACACCTTTACTTTACTTTCAAACACTTAATAACCTATCCTAATGCAGGGTATCAAGGGTTGGAAACATGGCCTTATATACTCTCTCCAAACCATTTTCAACAAACTGGGCATGGATGTACTGCAGAACTAGCTTGGAACATAGGAAAAAATGTATCTGTTTTTCTGGGTATCCACAGAAGTTTTAGGGCTATGTCTTCGCCCCCTTCTTCCATGTTCAGTTTTCCATTTCTGGCATACAAGCTGGAATGCACAGGTCTGCCAAGCTGTCAGTTAAGCTATCTACTGTATTCTGTATGCTTCTACATAAATGTGTGGGTTTGGGGTTTTTTAAGCTAATGTTGCTATAGACAACACATGGATTCAGGCAGCTTATGTGGTTAGTGTACCTTGGATCTTTCTAAAATGCTTCCTCCTTGCCCCAAAGCGGACTAAAATTTTAAGAGACATTGTATTTCAGATGCTATCTTATTTTCCCTGTTCCATACTTTTTTCAGTGTGTAAGCTTGATAGTTCTTTAAAGAATACTAAGCTCATTGTAGTGTTTTTACATTAACAATACATTACAGTAATCGCGGTGTGAGGAATTACAGCATCAGTAAACATCCCAGCCATTTTATTGTCAAAAGAATTGCACCTTGGTTTTCAATACCATCACTGAAATACAGCTCATGCTGGGAAGGACAAAAAAAGCAGTGGCAAAGCAGTTTCTAAACTTAGTTTCCATCAGCTAAATAAGAATATTAGGCTAAATATGGCTGTTTGAGAACAGATGTTTAATAAAAAAGCACCCAGCAGTTCTGTTCTTAGCTAAATTAGTTTTGCGTAAGAATAAACAAGCAACTTGCATACTAGGTAAAAAAAAATAAATTTGCATGAATAACTTTTGTTGATCATTATGCTAGAGAGAGAGAGAAAGAAGTTTTAAAAATCTGTGTCACCTTAAATATGGCCATGCTCTGCTCTTTCAGTGACTCAGCATACCACCTCCAATTAGCTTCAAAATGTGATTTCAGAACGTTACCCTTTAGAAGATAATAGCATCATTCTTTCACGAAAAAAGTCATGCTGCATCCTGAAAGTCCTGCTGCTGAACTGGCCAGCTGCACTGGCCAACTCCAGAGGCACCCGTGTTCTTGTGCAGAGAACTTTCCGTTTTTTTAAGTAGCAAGCTTGGGGTTTTTTGTATTTTATATTTTGAAACAGCAGCTGCCAAACACTATTTGGTCATAGTTCTGCCTTTTTTTTTTTTTTCCCACTGCTATTTATTTTCTTGTTATTCTCTACATTTATGCAAACAGCACATCAAGGCAACGTCAAGGTACATGTCTTTGTGTTGGTGCCAGCTGTTACCAGGAAAGGAGTTACATATAGAAAGAGGCAGCAGAGAAGATTAAGCAAGGACAGACTGAGGTGAAGGAAGAAATGAACTCTTTTACATTGCTTCAAGCCAGTTAAGCATCTTTCTTTTTATTATATGCTACAAAACAGCATGTAGTAAATTTATAAGCTGTGTGCCTCAGTCCATGGTGTAACTTAAATCGCTTAAGTAACTTACGACAAAATTATTTAAAGTTTAGTTTTCCATTTGTGCATTTGGAAAAGAGTGTGATCAATACATTTATTCCAATTAAAGACATACACTAAAATGAAAATGGCATCTCATAAGGGAAAAGGCAATAGCAGAAGTAGAAAAGCAGGGATGAAGAAAAGCATAGAAGTGAGTTGCTGCACTGATGAGACATAAGAATGAAGCTAGCAACAAGAAATCTGTAATGATTAGCAGAGTTCTCTAAAATAAAGGAAGTGGCTTTCATAAACCATGTGTCTCTGGAACATGTTAAGCAGATTGAAGTGCTGAAGATACCCAGGTAGCAGCAGCAGACTTCTGCTGACGGGGCTTAATCATGGCTGCTGACAGAATTAGGTCAGCAGAAGAGATTACAAATAATTCAAGGTTTTTCTTGGTTTTATTTCCAACATTATTGCTGGAATCAAAGATGCTGCTGCATAGGAAATCTGTAAAGAACATTGCTGGTGATATGTTATCGTGCTAGCAACTAGAAGCGCCAGTGTAAGTTCTGTGATTTCACTTCAGAAATGCAGGTTCAGCTAGAAACTTGGTTTAAAATTTTTAAGTCGAGGGAGTGATTAGCAAATGCACTTCATTTAGACCAGAGTTGTGAAAAAGCTGTGTAGAGAGCCTCCAGGGAACCAGGTCCATCATGCCCCGCTTGCCTGTCCCCCCTGCTTGTTCAGGCTGTGAAGCCCTGGACCGCCCAGGCACCATTACCCACAGAGGTGAGGGCCCCTTTGCCTGCTGACCTGCTGCTCCCACCTGCCAGGGTGACCTCGGGAGTGCCAGGTGGGGCTCTGTGTGCACCCCCAAACGCCCGCTGCGAGGAAAGGGGCACGGCCCCGAAGGGTGCTGGTGCCTGATGGCCAAGCTGCCTGCCTGCGTTAGGTGCAGTTTGACAAGAGGGACAGGAGTTATGGCTGTGGGCTTGGGCCGCCAACCTGAGGCAGCTCAGCCAGTGCCCCTGGCTGGCATTCTTTCCACACCGCTCCCGTTCTGGGGGAGAACGCTGCCTTAACACGGGCGCAGCTGTATGAGCCTGCATCACGGCGCTGCCCGAGCCTGCTGGGTGTGTTACCCAGCCCCTGCAGCTGTCTAATGTGGGGGACACGCTTCAGCACAGATCACAGAGGCTGATCTGTAGCTGTTACTCATATGGCCTCTAATAACAAAAAAGAAAGGACTTTTCATTATATCTCCTCCTCCGGACTGCCTTGGGAAAAATGTGTTGCATCTGGCCTGTAAGTTGGAATCATTAAAAAATGCTTTTTTTGTTGATGCTACATGTTCTCTGAGGAAGAGAGACCTAATTTAAGAAAAGTATTATCATACATACTGAGTGGTTATCAAGGTCAGTGCTGCTTTACTGCCTGTGCCTCACCATAGGGAAGCCAAGATGTTAATCTTCTGGGGAACGTGTCTCCTAAGATACGTTTGTGAGTGGCAGCACAATGTTTTAAGTAGTTCACAAATAGTTTAGTCCTAAACTCCAAATGCTACCTAATCAGGATCCTTCTCACACAAGGTGTGGGGAGGAGGGAGTTGAACAGAAAGGGGGCAGCAGTCCCAGGAGTATAATCGGTTTCAAGGGTTAAATTGAAGTCAGGATTAAGAAAAATGGAGTAACAGTAGATATTATGCTACAGGCCCAAATCTTGTAAACTGGTAGAAAAATATCCCTGTTATTACCAAAAGAAGCGTGAATAAATCATCACAGAAGCAAGCGCTGGCATTCAGAGCATCACAAAACAAGAGTAACGGATTTTTAATTCATAAGGCAACACTAAAAAGCAGAACAAAACTCAAGGTGAGTAGTGTGAAATACTATCATAGCCAGAATTTCTGAAAGTGTGCGAACACCACTTAAATCCAAGCTTTATCCTTACTACTGCTACTACCCCCCTTTTTGTGTTTGTTCTAACCTACACAGTGTTCTAACCTACACAGGCTTCCCACCATTCACTACCTCAGCACCTGTGCCCAAGTCGGTCCCCAAAAAGCTCCCAAGCTCTCATGGTTCAGCTCTGAACAGAGACTTCTGCTTTTCTTGCTGTCTCCCAATGCCAAATTGTAGAAGTCAGTAAGAAACAATTACTGCAACGTACAGATAAACCTCATTTTTCACACTTCTGACAGAGGTAGGGTTGATTTGCAATATTTTTCCTCTTACAGAGCATGGCTGCCAACTCCACAAAAAACCTCTGGTATTTGGAAATAAATTATTTTGGTCAGTGTTGTTATACAATGTATTGGCTTTGACAGAGCCTGCTAAGGAAGTTTCTACTGCTGGGCCACAGCTGACCACTGCTCAGGTGTATCTGCTAGGGGGATACTCAGTAACTCGGACAGTAGAATGATTTGGATTAAGACAACTTCCTCCACACCAGAAGGGTTTATCTGTGAAGTCAGTCAACTTTAGTGGTTTTATGGAACAGCAGACAGTGGTATTAACCTGTAGGAGTAACTCCTGGAAGCTTCTGTGGAACTGAAGTGCAGTTAACATGCTTACTTGCTTCAGTCAAATCCACAGATGCCCTCAAGTCAACATAGACTACCTTAGAAGCTACAGTCACCAGCTGCTAAACCATTTTTCTCCAGAGTATTCCATGTCTCCATCCTATTTGGAATTACCTTGCTTTCTCTTAGTTCTGGTGCTCGTCTCCAGGAGATAAACTGCAATCTATTCTGTGTACGTTACAGGAGGGAAAGCAGCAGTAGACTCTGGAGTCCTGTGCTTACACCCTCCTGTATATAAAACCCTCCTTACTAAAGATCAGAGGAGTTTCTGCTAGGTCACCCAGAAACATGAGGATAGAAAGAATATAAAGAACTTTAAAGAAAATAATTGAGTTTTAGTTTCTTATTTGGCATAATGTAAGGTGATTTCTGAGGAATTGTATCTCTCTGTATACACTAAAGTATTAAACTGCACCCTTACAGCAGCGTTCAGTGAGATTCAGCAGGAATGTGTTAGAAGGTCCAGAATTTAGTGTGATTTCATTTGGAGCTTTTGATTCTACCTTTCAGATTAAAGCAATCTGAACATGAAGGACTTCTGCTGGGTCTCTTCATCATCCTCCTCCAGCTACATTGTAGAGGTTTTCCAAGAAAACATGTAGCTTTTAGCAAAGCACTGCAGATCATAGGTCAGTTCAGGAAGCTGCTGCAGCTCAAGTAGTGTCTACACAAATATGCCACTTGCAATGTTCCCCTTTGTATGCAGAGGAACGGTCCCTTAGGTGGCTTAAAATTGCATTTAGATCGTTACCGCTTCTTTATCTAAACAGATGAGAAGCAACGTTGCATTAACCTATAATGCTGCAAGAATTGAAAAATTGTTCATCGTATGAATAAAGCTCAGAGTTTATTCTTAATGACCGTTTCCAGAGCTGAAATCGCAAAGGCTTCGTGCTTGCCTTATCACATCCCAAATGTCTACGGGAAAAATACTCTGCTATTAACACACACTAGCTTCAAGTTGCAGTGAAGGCATGAGAGAAGTATCAGATCTTTACAATCTCTTCTGCCCACTCCAATTAGAGCCTGTACTTCCCTAGCCCCCCGCACCCCGGCCGGGGCTGCGGTCACCGCTCCTTTGGCTTTGGGGACTTGCAGGCCGCTCCCGGGCGGGAGCGCGAAGTTCGAGGCTACGGTGGGCGTTTTCGGGACGTTGTAATCCCTGCCGGTACTTTGCCCGAGTGAGGCCCGCAGGCATAAACACCCGCCCCGCTCCTCGGCCACAGGCGCTGCTTGAGGCGAGGCCCGGCCCCTCCCGCGGCTTAACCCAACGGGGAGGGCGCGG